GGGGGGGGGGGGATTCGCGGAAATCGAGGGTTCGTGATGTGTACCGACAAGGACATTCAGCCTACTTGCTTCCTTTCATATGGGTCTGTGTACGGGGGGGGTTCACCGACGACATGCACTGATAGGTCAGCAGAGGGATCGTGCTGCTTTGACCCCACTATTCACTGCTGCCAACGCCTACTCTAAACAGCAACACCGCGCTCACTGACAGCACCTGCTCTCCATACACAATCCACGGCCCTCAAGTGCCGACTCTCAACACACCAAAACCACCACTCACTGCCGCTAAAATAGTGCCGATCCTCCCCACATCAAAAGGTCAACACTCACTGCCGCTAGTGCCGACCAAAAGCGTAGCGTCCACCACCGCAAGCTCTCCGTCCGACTTGAGCGGCCGGTGCCACTTGACCACGGAATCATTGAAGCTCGCCGCCCCGGCAGCCACACTCTGCCTCGCCGGGCCCGCGAACTCGGGACCTACCTCGCCGGCGTCGCCCGCGCTCGCGGCCGTGATTTCGAGGCTGACCTGTTTCGGAAGATGCGGCGGCGGAGGGGGGGGGTGTTACTCATGTATTGCATGCCTTATTGTTCGACCATTGACCACGCGTTCTAGAGAAGGGGGTGTGCACATTTTTGTTCGCGGCGGGGGCCCCTGGTTGGCCCAGTACTCCCCGACCAACTTTGCGTGGCACAAAAGCTTAGCAGCGGAAAAGAGGAAGCGCTTCGGGACTTCTTCGACAACAACGACCAGTTCATCGCGAAAAACCGTCATCACCCCTACAAGAACAAGAACAAGAACAAGAACAAGAACATGAACAAGAACAAGAACAACAATAACAACAACACAGCGTTTGACGTCCGACACAAGAGCGCCTCCTCTCCCACCTCCTACCCCTCCATGTTCGCAACAACAACAACAACAACAACAAGACCCCCTCCGCACCCTACAGCACTCGATACTCGTCATGAAAGCGTCGCGACCACAACACGATGACGCCTCCTTTCCCACCTCCGAAACCCCTTCACATTCGTCATGAAACCTTCACCGTAGCAACAACACCAGGCCGCCTCCGCTCCCACCTGCAACTCCTCGGTATTCATCATGAAACCATCACCAACACAACACCATAACACCTCCTCTCCCACCTTCCCGACCACCCCACCTCCCTCATGAAACCAGCAACAAGAACAAGAACAAGAACAAGAACAACAACAACAACAACAACAACACTTCCTCTGCTTCCTTCCGCCACCCGCAATCCATTCACCCGCAATTCATGAAACCGTCACCATTACCACCATAATGCCTGCTGTCCCCCTTGCCAACCCTCGCTACTGAACGGCAATAAAGCCGGCACCGCCAAAAACGCCTCCGCTCTCACCTGCCACGCTTCGTTGTGAGGGGGCGCCGTCCGGTTCCCGCAGGCGTCCATCGCCCCCAGGGAGAACGCCGGCAGGCTGCTCCCCGCATCCGCAGTCATCACGGGGCCGCTGTCGCTGTCGGAGGCTGGGGACAGCAGCACCAGTTCCGTCGGCTTGCCGGGCTGTTTAGGTAATGCATGTTCGAGAGGCAAGGGGGGTAGGCAAGACGAAGAGGGAGAGGCGCGAGTCCTCGATGATGACACACAAGAAACGGAGTGGAGCGCGAAACACACACGGGATCTGCACGCGTGAGAGAGAGAGAGAGAGAGAGAGAGAGAGAGAGAGAGAGTAAAATCAAGAGGGATACGCAAAAGCAGCTGGTAATAGTTGTTTGGCGTGTCTCGGTAAGAAAGGGGTAAAATTAAGGATATTTAGTCCGGGCGCCACGCGTGGCGCACGCGTGGGAGGTACAAAGCAAGACGCAGAGAGACACAGCAAGGGCAGCAATTAGTACCGTATACGACACAAGATAACACACCCCCTGGACCGATTTTCAATGCTCGATTACTCCACGACGAAGAGGATGCAAAACCGAAACAACACATTTTTGAAAAGCTCTCGACGAGACGGTTTCAACGCCGCCGTTTTCNTCTTACCTCGAAAGTGGCATCGAACGTGTTCTTGAAGACCTTCTCGTCCTCGTCCTGCTGCCTGTCCTGCTGCATGTGAGCCACCACGGAGACCTCGAACTCGATGGCGCGGGTGCGGTACTCCGCCGCCGACAGCAGGCCCGCCTGCTTCGGAACAAGCCGCCACGAATGCTGCCGCAGACAAAACAACCAAACCATAAACGGAAACAACAAACTTGCGAAATAGTGGTATGTGGTGATGTTGTTGGCAAAACACAACAAAGAGGAGAGTGAGAAACGGAAACATCAAAGCATACGAAATACCGTACATGACACAAGAAAACACACCCCCTGGACCGATTTTCAAATCTCGATTTCTCAACAACAGAAAGAGTCACGGCGCCGATAACGGCGGCGTTGGAACCGTCTCGTCGAGAGCTTTCCAGAAATGTATCGTTTCGTTTATGCATCCTCTTCGTCGTGAGTAATCGAGCTTTGAGTATCGGTCCAGGGGG